GCTGCGTCGACACGAACACCAGGACCGGCGGGTTATACGGCTGGGCCAGATACTGCAGCAATGTAGGCAGTTTCGAGGAATCGTCGTGCACGTAGGTCAGCGATTGGGCGATTAGCGGAAGCGGGGTATCCCTGAGCAGCGTCAGCCGCTACAAGCTTTCCACAGAAGCAGCTCACGCACTTGAGACCGACGACGACCCTGATGGGATCCGTCAACATGTCCATGGCTATCTTCTCCGCATTCGCGGGAAGCGTTGCGCTGAAGACCGCCTTCTGCACGCGAGGATGGCTGCAGGCGGCTACGACCTCTCGGACTTGCTCCAGGAACTCAGGGTCGAGCATTCGATCGGCCTCGTCAAGCACAAGATGCCTCACGCTTGAGGCGAGTCAGCGGTCAGCCGGTCACAAGCCCCAGTTCACCGAGCACACTCACTTGCTCAACTCGAGGTTACCTGACTGCAGGGCGGCGACCATGCGCAAGGGTGTGCTGATGATGATGTCTATCCCGCGTGTCAGCCTGCCACTCGCCGCTGCTCCCCACGCATCGACTCACCCACTTTATCGCGCACGTTCTTGTCCGCAAGCGTCGCCGCGGTCGCTTTGCTGAACAGCACTATCCGCCACTTGCGCCCCTGCGCGAGCTTCAGGCACTCGTTGTGTATTTGGTGTGCCAGCTCGCGCGTGGGCGCGAGCACCAAAGCGCGCACGCCGCGTCCGTGTTCAGGGTTTGAGCCAGAGTTGGGCGCGGCAAGCGAGGCGAAGAGCGGGAGGAGGTACGAGAGTGTTTTGCCCGTTCCTGTGGGTGATATCGCAGCGAGGTCGCGGTGCTACGCGAGGTACATCTCATGAGTACCGTAGCATCGGAAATACTGTCCACACTCACTTCCAGGAGGATAGGCACGCCATGGGCCTGAATGCCGGTCGGCTGCTTGTACCCGCTTGCCTCCAAGTTCTGCAGCAGCCTGCTCGGGATATTGTACTTGCTGCCCAGTTCGGCAAAGGTATACAGAGCTTCTGGTACGTTGTTCCCCTTCGCCGTGACCCGCTGCCGAGGCACAGAGCTTGACGGCTCGCCCTCCTCTGGTGCTCCGACATTCTCGGCGTCCTCGTCCACGTCCATGTCCTCGTCTAGACGTGCCTTCTTCGCCTTATGCTGCGAGTCGCCGTCGGTCTTCCGCTTTGCAGAGCCGCCCTGGGCATACTTGAAGAAGTCAAGCTCCGTAGGGAGCTCGCCGTCCGTGGCGGGCTTCGCCACGCCCTTGCCCTTGTCTTGGCTTTTAGATTTCTGCAGGGAAAGTAAGGACTGGGGAACGTAGTCCAGCAGAAGTATAGCGCCACGTACATCAAATAGCTGCACGTCCTTCTTGAACCGCTTCTTGTCGAACAGAGCACCTCCGCGCGAGAGTAGGTGGAACGCTTCCATCACGAACGGAAGCCCGGAAAGTCGTGCGAATGGATAGTGTTGTGTGCTGCAGTCACTGACGCAGTAGAATGGTAGCCAGGTAATCCAGCAGGAGGCAGGTATAGCAGGCCAAGGCGGCGAGAGGGTATCTGGAGTGATAGGACCGAGTGCAGTCCGCTCAGAAAAGTTATGGGCGTCAACATCCAACGACCTTTCGGGCGCCAATCAAGTCCTCGGGCGAGCGGCGGGAGGCGGACGCTTTGTCTCTTGCTCCTCGCCGCCGCCGCCGCCGCCGCAACGTTCACGGACATGTTTGAGGTATAGTACAAGCGCAGATGGAGCTGGCATTACTGTTCACTACGGGGAGTGGGTATGTTCTATCTAAAAGCCTAATAACCGATCGCACATCCTCGCCCGCCCCACCATTAGCGGCCCCAGGCTCTGGCAACCCGCCCTAAATCCAGCGAAAATACAACAACAGCCACGTTTTACGCGTGCTGGCGCGGGCTGAGCTTGAGCTTGCAGCCGTCCTGCGGGAACAGCGTCGCGATGATCTGCACCTTCTCGCTCAGCGGCGTCACCTCGTGCTCCCAGTTCAGCAGCACCGCCGCGTCCGCGAGCACGAGCGCGATGTTCATCATCGCGTACTCGATCCCGATGCACTTGTGCGGGCCGCTGCCGAAGACGAGGTAGTTGCGCGGGTTCGTGTTCGCGCTGCTGTTCGGGTCGAGCCACCGCTCGGGCAGGAAGGCCTCCGGGTCCGGGAACACCTCCGGGTCGTGCAGCGCGTTGTAGAACGACGGGATGACCATGCTGCCCGACGGCACGGTGTAGTCCGCAGAGATCGGGAACGCCTTCGTCGTCTTGTACGGCACCATCGTCACTGGCGGCTTGACACGGAGCGTCTCCTTCACCATCGCGCGCAGGTACGGCATCTCGTCCATCATCTCGAGGGTCAGCGGCTTCTCGTAGTCGCCGGCACGGACGCGCTCCTGTTCCTCGCGAACCTTGGCCAAGACCTCCGGGTGGTCCGCCAGGTGCTGGAAGCCGTAGATGAGACCGCTCGACATGGCGTCCTGGCTGGCGAAGAGGAACGAGAAGACGACCATGGCCATCTCGTGGTCGCTGAACTCGCGGCGGCCCTTGTACGCGGGGTCGTTGAGGATCGTGACCCACTCCTCGAGCATGCACTCGGGCGGGTTGCCGGCCGCGACGCTCTCCTTGGACTTGCAAGCGGCGAGCTCGAGCCACTTCATCGCGGCCTTGCGCGCCTGGATCGCGGCGTAGACTTTGGTGCCGGGGACCGCGAGCGGGAAGTTGACGAGCTCGAGCGCAACAGTGATCATCCAGTACTTGTCGGAAATCTCCTTGGCGCCGTGCTCAGGAATGTGGTTTCCGCAGAAGACGCGAAGCGAGGTCTCCATGTTGAGCTCGCGCGCAGTCATCATGATCGGCTTAGCCGATGGGTCCTTGGCAGCCTCGGCCAGCCATTTGGCGAAGTACTTGCGGGTGATCACGTCCTGGATGTTGAGGTAGAGGCTACGTCCGACGGTGAGCATGAATCGCGTACAGACTTTGCAGAATACATACCCGAGGGCCTTGCGAGTGAAGAGTTGGTTGAGTCCACGGCGGTACTCGACGTGCTCCTTGCCGGTAAGGAAGACCCTGGGAATTCCTATCAGCGCTCATGTTCACGTCAGCAAGCGTAGAAGGGGTACCAACCAGTTGTTAGGGAGAATAATCTGCTTCGCCGAGTGGACAAGGCAGGGTTCAGCGTAGGTAGGAGAGTTCAGGATCTTCCTGGCATATTCCGTCGTAGACGCCATCACGATGAAACTGGACCACGGCGCGTCAGGGAAAGCGGGACGCGCATAGAATGCTGCGCGACATACATGTTGAACACGCTAATCGCGCTCAGCGCGCCCGAATTCCATTGCTTCATGTAGCCCTCCATCGTGGGCTTCATCGAGTCCGCAAACTTGCCGATGAGCGGAATGGTCCAGTTGTCACCAGGGAGGTGGCGCTTCTTGTAGCGGTAGACGGTCTGTTCGAGGATGAGGAGCGAGAGAACAATGGCAGCTGTGGTGTAGAACCAGCTGCCGGAGGGGAGGACGCCATTGAACGCGGGGGCGTCGGCAGAGTCGCGAGAGGAGAGGACAGACGGGAATGCCGCCTGTGAGGATGCCATGGCGAAGGACTGTGGGGCGTGCTCGTTGTCTCGCGCGGTGAAGACGCGTGGATGGACGGCGACGAGTGCACGGCTGAGGCTCTGGGGATGGAGGGAGCTGGAGAGAGCAGTCGCGGGGCAACTTCCAACAGGGAAAATACCAGTGGGTCGATTCTCAGAGCCTCTGACAAGCCGTCTATTACGTTATCCTCACCCGGCCTTCTCGGTCCCCAAATCCGCTTCCAGGCCCGGCGCCTCGGGCTTGGTCTTCGAGTCTCGACAACGACGACGGCGGCGCGGGTATGGTCAAGAAATTACGATGCGTATGCTACAACACAAGGGGGTGATATGTTTACAGGTGACAGTGTCCATCCACGCGCGATTCTGTCCATGCTGCTGACCTACTTTCGCAGCTCCTTCTTGACGTCGGCCTTGAAGTCCTCCTTGCCCTCGCGAGCACCAGCAGCTGCCTGTTCCAGCTGTCAGCGGGACATATCGACGACATGGGTTCATGGATAACCCACCTGGTTCGCTTTCTGCCTGGCAACTTCCGCTGTCTCCTTCGTCTGCTGCGCCGTCTCCGCGGACTTTGTGCCTGCACGCCAAGAGTCGGTCCAAGCTACGCGTGTGCTCGTGATCGTGCGGACTCACCAACGGTCTCCTTCGTCTGCGCGGTCACTTGCTCTCCGGTCTCGATTGCGGAGGCCAGTCCCTTGCCGACACCCTTGTTGACCTTGTCGGCCGCTTCGGAGACGCTTCCGGCACCTGTCCCTCCGCGGTTAGACTGCGCAGCTTGATTTCTGGACTACAAGGTCGCTCACCGATGGTCTGCTTGGTCGTCTCCGTTGCCTGCTCGCCCTTTTCGATGGCGCTGGCGAGGGTCTTGCCGACCTTGATGTTAACCTGGAATACTCCGTCAGCCCAGTACGATGCATGCACTACGGCAAGCGGGACGCACGTCCGAGGCAACCTTCTTGGCCTTTTCCGTCACCGACTCCGCGGCAAACGGCGTGGTGTGGAACGTCCTGGAGGACGAGGCCAGGATAGCGCGCGAGGAAGATGCAATTGCTGACCGGAACATTGTGTATGATATCGAGGGATGAAAGGGTCGTTTAGGTGCTGCTAGTTCGAATGCAGGAGCGAGGGTGTTGGGCCCGTTCGCTGTATATAAAGAGTCCCCGCGCGTATGACGTCGGTCTGCACGCCTCCGTAGGTGGAGCATCCTCGCGTTGGTGCGTGGAACGGTTCACACCACATCACAGATCGCTCTAGCCTCTCCAGGCACTTGACCATTGTACTGCACACGCGTCACCACTGCATATGCTTCGCGTTAATGGATGTCACGAATCCAACGTTGCTCTAACGAACTGATAATAGGTGGGTTGGGAGGGCTCAATCAATTCGAGATTACCTAAAACACGGACGGTCTTATGGCACTATAGTGTAGTGGTTATCACTCAGGATTTTGATGTCATTCGATTTCCTGGAACCCAGGTTCGAACCCTGGTAGTGCCTTTAGTTTTTGCTCCGTGACCTGTTTGTTGGTGGTCATCGATTCAGATTATTCAAGAGTTTTTGAGACTAAACGGTCGTGGTTTCCTAGCGGTTAACGTGGTTTGGGCTGCAGGTTACGTTTTTTGACAGGCTTGGCTCTGCGGTCCCTCAGCTTATTGTATTAAATTATCAATCTGGGTGCTTTTGCCCGTACTATCAGTTAATTTGAACGTAGTATGTGGCGCACGGCTCGCATGGCTCCTCCGATGCTGATATTCTCTGAAGCTAACCACACCCTACTTTGAGGGTTGCACAGTACATTCCATCTCTAAATGCTATAGTCAGACCACCTCCGTAGATACAGGTTCCTTCACGTTCAGGTGAGCCTTGTGCGCCAGGATCGAGGCGGGCGTTCGGGCTGCACACATCCGACAGACAGGTGAGTATTTCGAAAACTGGGGCCGGAACCGATGCCTGATCAGGGCTCACCTTGTAACTGATGCTCAGCAGACCCGCGTCGCGCGACAGCGCTATCTGCGTCGGACGCTGTATTGATCAAGCATGATCAGACACCGCACAAGGGCTCACGATGGAGTCGTGCGTACCGAGAGGCATCGCGTAGCAGACTCTCGCGAGGGCGAGCCAGGCTGCCACTGCTCCGAAAATGCGCATGATGATCCGGGGATGCGAAAGTGCCGCTGTGGCTGATACTGGGGAGCACCTCGCTGTCTCCTTATAACTGCTCAGAGCATTGGGTCCGAGTCGAAACGCACCATGTGCTTCTGATTAGACTGCCCTAGGCATGTGAGCTAGCCTTCAGCTGTAGCCGGTGTCCTCATGCCTCTATCGTAGCAGTTTTCCCGGCCTTGTGCACAGCGATACTTATCGTCTGCGAAAGAGGTAATGGACCTCATCGCTCTCCATCGCTAGTTGTTGGGGGCACCTTTCAACAGCCTACGAGATTTCCTCCAATCGAGTAGTGAGAGAAGGTGGGGAAGGCTGCTCGCCAAAAGAGTTCACAGCCGGCCGCTTCGCAGTCTATAATCTTCTCATGACTGTCTCTCCGTCGCGAGAAGCCTCGGTAGTACTCCCTGTGTCGCTCGTGTGAGCACTGTAACAGTATCTGGTATGGAAAGCGATAAATTGATCCTCTCTTGGAAGTTGGTTTGTTGGTGACAATCTCGCTCTTATACGCCCTACTATTCCAGGCGCATTCGAACTGCGCTCAGGAAGACTCAGCTGCAGGCTCCTCAATCTTGATGTGAGCCGCATGTGCCAGGATCACGGCGGGTGTTCGGGCTAAACATGTCTCCAGGTAAATCCCCTCTGAAAAAGAGAACTGTGGAGGCAGACTGACCCTGTAGTTCGTGCCCTGTAGGTTCGCGACGGGCGATGGCATATTCTCCGTCGAATGCTGGATATAGACCGACGTAGTCAGATTGAGCCTTGTAGCCCACGGCGGATGTGCATACCCAGAGGCATCGCGTAGCAGATGGTCGCTAGTACGAACCAGGTTGCAGCTGCTCCGTATACGCGCATAGTGCCCAGGGATGAGAAAGTGCTATTGCGGCTGACACTGATGTCTTAAGACTCCTTATATGTTGCACAGAATGTTAGGGATAAAGCTCACCATGTGCTTTGATCATGATTGCGGGAGCCTATCTTCCAGCTTTTGGCAGCATTAGATGCGCCCTGGCGATGGTTGTTCCGACGTTGTTCAAGGCGAGGCTTTAGTTGCCCAGCGCGGTAACGAATGTTATTGTTTCCTACTGCAATCTGTTTGCAACACCTTCGAACGGCCTTCGAACAGCCACTGAAAATTACTTTAGTCAATTTGTGAGAAAAGTGGGAGCATGCTGTCCAGCATAGAAGTGCAATCGGTCATCTTCGACCCGCTATCTTCTCAAGGCTATCTTTCAATCTCGAGAAGCCTCGATGGTGCGCCCTACATCGCTCGCGTGAGCACTAGGATAGTATCTGGGATGACACGGCGACCACGGAACAATGTCTTGCGAGTCGCATGATCACATCGTTCCATGCTGCATCGCGAGCATTAGGATTACAACAGTACGACTTGACTAGTAACGGCATATAGGTATCATTAAATGTACTTGAGCACGGACACCGCGAACACCCGACAGCACGCCGTTTGCTGCTCATGCGCGCCCCGTCTTCTTCTTCTTGTTCACGACCTTGAAGCCGCCCCATTCGTTCTGCGCGGGCTTCGGCTGCGTCTTCACAACATCGGCAATCGAAAGTGTCTTGCCGACCGATGCGGACGCTGCAGGGGCCTTCGCGTCCGCCTTGCGCTTGCTCACGAACTCTGCAGCAAAGCGCCGGCCGTCGAGCGTCGTGCTGTTGGCGTAAATGAGGTCGGAGATAATCTCAACGGTCGACGAGTCAGGATCGAGCGGGAACGAGAGAAGCATGGATGAGATCTCCTCCACTGCGGCGAAGGTTAGTCTGTGATTACGAGCATAAGGACGTGGACACGTACAGTTGACAGAGTTGTTCAAGCCCTTGAGCGAATCCGTCATCCACTTCATGAAGTCGAGCGAAGGCGCAGACGGTGCTTCCTCCTTCGGCGCGGCGGGCGCAAGCTTGACCGAAGTGGTCACAACAGGCGACCTGGTAGGCGCTGGCGTGCTGGCTGTGCGGGTGAGCACAGCGGCAGCAGAAGGCGCAGGGGTGGCAGCAGCAGCGACGGTCTTGGTAGACGTAACAGTGGTGAGTGCAGGACGCGCAGGTGGAGTGGCGACAGCAGCGTTGGCCTTGCCACCTACTCCCACAGTAGTCCATGCACCGCCGGTCTGGACGGGAGAAGCAGCCTTGGTTGTGGTGTCCGCGTACGCGCGCCGAGCGGCAGCGGCGACGGTTTCCTTCTCCTTCGCAGCGACCTTCTTACGGCGCTCCTCTTCCTCTTGAATCTCCTTCATGGTCTTCTTGACCGCGGGTGCCTTCGCCGCGGTGGTCCATACAGGCGAATTGGTCGCAACGGGGGAGGCGGCGGCTTGAGAGACAGCAGACTCTTTGGTTACAGCCGCAGTACGTGCGCCGACCTGAGAGGTGGGCAGGCCCCAAGAGAGCGTCTGCACTTCCTCGGACGCGGTCGGCGAAGCCGCAGCGCGGGCTGCACGCTCCCGTTCGCGCTCGGCGGCTTTGCGTACCTCAAGCTTCTTGGCCTCCATCTCCTGGATTTCGCGGAGACCGAGCGTGGGAGTCGCCTTTTTCTTCTCGTCATCCACGGAACCCCAAACAGGCTTGGACTGCTCGGTAAGTTGAGCGAGAGGAGGTGACGGAGATTTCGCTACAGGCGCAGCGGTGGGTGCGGGTACAGCAGCCTTAGCGGCGGCGGAAGGTGCTGCAGCTTGGTCGGTGGCCTTGCGGCGCTGCTTCTTGGAGGCAGCGGAAGGTTCAGGAGCAGAGACGGCGGGTACAGCCGCAGTATCAGGCTGCGCGACGCCCTCGGGCACGGCCTGCCCATCGGCGACTGGGCTCTCAGCTGCTGGAACAGGCTGCACCTCCTGCCGGCGAGCGGCTTCTTCCTCCTGTTGCCTATTGTGCTGGCCAAGGTTGGCTGCGGTCAGGCTGTCTGAAGTCCAACCATCCGATACAATGCCTTGACTTGCAGCAACCCATGGAGATTGTTCATTGCTCTGTTGAGCAGGCACTTGAGGAGCCTGAGGAGCTTGAGACTGAGAAGGAGTGATAGTACGCTGAGAAGGAACGACGGTAGTGCGAGAGGGGAATTCGGAGTCAAAAGGAGCGGGACGACGGATAGCAGCGTCTTGCGGAGGCCACGGCGAAGCAACAGGGGAGCCCATGAACGGCTGCTGGAACGTACGCTGGGCCAAGGCAGTCGTCGGCTGACGGTCGGGTATACCAGGGAAACCGTGCATTTGGGAGCCATAGGGCACCTGACCTTGACCAAACGGCTGGCCGTTAGTGGGGTAGTGGATGCCGCCATTGGCGAATATGTTGGCATTCTGGTTAGCGTCGAACGACTCGCGAGCGAAGAGTCTTGGGCCCTCCCTGTAAGGGGAGCCGTTGAAGTCGTTAAGTCCGTGTGCGGGCTGGCCGTTGCCTATCATCGGACTGCCTTGTGAGGGACGAGCAGCGTGGAAACCAGGCTTCTGTCCGAACAGGTTCTCATGTCCTTGGACAGGGCTGAAAGGGCCTGTGGAATCTGACTGATTCTCCATAGCTGACGAGCGCTATTGAGCAACAAGCAGGACGGCACACGACACTGTAACTCACGATGGAACCCAAGACCGTCTACCGAACCTGTTCGCCCAGGAGTAAAGCCTGCAAACGGCACTCTCGCACTCGGATTGCCATCCACACCCTCCTCGAATGTAGGACGACGCTGCGGCTCCATGGGGTTACCGACGAGGGTGGCGAGGCGAGGACCGACAGGAGATTCCGCAAAATGGTGACCGCCAAGCCGGCCACCGAAAGCGGCAGGGTCGGGAGAAGCGTTGCTGAAACGGCCAGCACTGAAAGACGATGAGGGTGAGTCCGGGACAAGAGAGCCGTTATGCAAATGAGAGTCCATGGTGCGCAAACGAGCCGGCGCCGGTTGGAAGGGGGAACCAAACGTGCCATCAGGGGCAGGGCCACCGAGAAGAGGGTCGCGACGAAGCAAACCGGGAGGTGGTACATTTGGGAGGGGTGTCAAGAACATACGTGGGTTGCCCGCACGCTGGAGGAGTTCGGCAACGGACGTCCAATCTTGGTCGAGCTTGGTGCGCTTCATCATCAAACTCGGTTGGAAGTATCCCTCGTCGTACCACTTCTGCATAGTGGAAGCAGGGAATGGACCTGAAGAACAAGGTAAGCATGCCACCATAGGGTATGCCGAGCTTCGCACCTTGCACATGGCCTTGCGGGTCGAGGTATGACCACTCCACGGTACTCAAATCCGTGATGCCAGGCGGGGGACCAGCCGGCGCATTCTCGACAGGAGTCTGCAGAGCGACGCCACCGGCATTCATGTCGGGTCCTTGGGTTTTCAAGGTCAA